GCGATGTGAGTAAGAATAAATCTATGTTATTAGTTTGTATGGGAATTAGTTCAAACACATCCATGAAGAATACCCCTCATTAAGTTGTTGGAAGAGACATTTTATTGTTGGGGAAATAAATGTCATTTGACACTTTATATACTGAATTCAAATTATTATCTTTCTAAGCCCTCGCCTTTATATTCTTTTTTTTTCTGTTGACATACTTTATAGCACGGAGATTTCTTCACATGCAATTGAGAGGCGTGGTAATGTTCCGCTCTTCTTTTTGTAGAGTCACTTTTTATCTTTATGGACTGTCAGGCGGGTTGTATCCTATGCCTTATAGGTGTAATTACAAGTTACTACGGCGTGATTCCAAACACACAACGTAATTTAGAATGAGGCGATTAATTTTGATTGATGAAAACCGGGCGCGCTGCGCCGGGCGAGATAGGGGAAATATTGCCCTAATGTGAGGGCGCGCATCTCTTAGTGTTACGAGGCTGGGCAACACTTATTGTTGTCCAAATTATTGTCAGATAATTACACAATATTTACCGTTAACATAATTTATGATAATAGTTATGATTTTTTTCATTGCAAACATTACTCAGCTGATTTCCTGGACATAGTAAGGTTCCAAATGTGCAATTATGGTCGCCATTATGGATCAATATAAATACAAAATCATACATGAATTAAACTTACAAGTATCAAAAGAGTATTCCACTATCGGAAAAATACTATTCTAACTCTTAAACATAATAAAAGAATGGCGATTAAAGATGGAGATATGCCCTCCAATTATATTATGGCGACCATTTTGAATTTATGCAAATTAGAAAAGTTGTCCAAGGATGACATAGTCGGGAACATGCAGATCCATCAAGAGCATGATTTCGGGGAACCAAATTTAAAGCGGGAGGGCCGTCACCTGCGCACGCGCGGGAATTTAGTCCCAGACGACGATAACAACACACGCTAAACACTTGTTTGTAAACAATGACTCGCTATGGCCATCTGACGCATGCGCAGGTGACGACACCCCGCTCTAATTTGGCTATTTTCTTCGGATATTTGAAATCTACTAAATCAAATCCACGTGAACATGAAAAATAACTTGAACTTTAAAACCCAACGAAATTGTCTAAAGCATCAACATAGTGAGATTAAATGCCAGTGAAAATAAACAGCTGTACAGTTTTACGTAACAAAAAATAATGAAACACGAAAAAAATGCTGTTCGTCGAGCTGAAAAACATTAATTACACTTTATTATGGGAAGTTAAAAAAAAACAAAACGAGTGGAGATGCCGGGTTTCGAACCCGGGGCCTCGTACATGCAAAGCACGCGCTCTACCACTGAGCTACATCCCCTAGCTGATATAGGTTATCTACAACAAAGTATCTATATTATTGAACTCATTAACACTATTTCAAATTTTGTTATAGTGCTGGTATTGTTAGTATTATGACCAATATTTGTGTTCCCAAACTAAATCCTACTAAATCACCATTTAAGTATCTTGATAATAATTGTTATAAACCTTCAGCATTTGGGAGTTGACCTATGACCCAGGCCCAGGATGTCAATGGTGTTCAACATGGCTGCTTACGTAGGGTAATTTTGCGGCGTGGAGAGATACAAAGCTCAACGTTTTAAGATTATCTCTTGAGCCGTACCAGTTTAATAGTCTAGTAAAGACTGTTCGTATTCGGCGGTGATGTAAATTCACTATGAGCTCGAGAAATCGTGAGAGAATTGGAAAAATTAATGAATTGTCAAGTTTTATTTCTGAAAACAATCGGAGAATTGACAAATTATTGGCGGATCTGCAATGGGACAGAGACACACTCAAGGTAAGACGACAACGAATTTAGTCACGTTATTTGGAAGATTAATCATGTAATCTGACACGTCATTGTGTTCTGTACAATAAAATGTCATAAATTTACGGACATTGCG